GACGGTGACCGATAGACCTCAGGTTTTATTTGTTTCAGATTTAAACCTCTCCGAAACAACCACCACCAACACAATACAATGCCTTCCGACGGACCATCCTGTAGGCAGCAATTTTATGATGCCTTGCATTTTCCATCTCAGCCATTGAGAGAATGTGGTTTGGGACCACCCGTGATGTTCTTGCTTATATAAGGTGACAAATGTTGATCATCTCGCAAAATGCAACATGGAATTGCGACCTTCCTTATGCAGACACAACTTCGCAGCCTGGTCATGTTGTAGGGAAGATTCGAACCCGGTCCCATAGTCAGAAATCGAACGTTCTAACCACTCGGCCACGTTTCCATATATATGCATTCGTGCATGACTCTATATTTTTCTTTTTTTTCTAACGAGTTTCAGTTCATGGCGGGTACTTACTGGTCTTTACGTATAAGTATTTTCTATTAAACAGACAATGTAAATTGCACTAATGCATCTGCGTATACAGCAACAACTTGCGATACTTAGAAATTTTAAGTACGACGTTCATTAGGAAAACCTCATGCAATGGAAGGACTTCAGGTATGTTTGTAATTACAAGTTATTTCAAATGTCTTAGCTGGTAACACTCGGGAAATATCTCACGTAGTCTAGAAGAAAGAAAGAAGGAAAGAAATGAAGAAATAGAATGAGGGAATGATTAAGTAGAAAATAAATATAAAATGAAATATAAATAGGAAAAGATTAAGGAGAGGAAAAGAAAGAAAGAAAGAAAGAAAGAAAGAAAGAAAGAAAAAAAGAAGAAAGAAAGAAAGAAAGAAATGGAAAGAGGAAAACTATTGGCAGGAAGAAAAAAGAAAAATGAAATAGAATAAGGAAACGATTAAGAAGAAGAAAGAAGTAAAGAAAGAATGAAAGAAAGAAAGAAAAAAGAAAGAAAAAAAGAAACAGAACGAGGAAAATTATAAGGAGAAAAAATAAAAATGAAATAGAATAAGGAAAAGATTAAGGAGAAGAAAGAAGTAAAGAAAGAAAGAAAGAAAGAAAGAAAGAAAGAAAGAAAGAAAGAAAGAAAGAAAGGAAGAATGAAATGGAATAAGGAAAAGATTAAGGAGAAGAAAGAAGTAAAGAAAGAAAGAAAGAAGTAAAGAAAGAAAGAAAGAAAGAAAGAAAGAAAGAAAGAAAGAAAGAAAGAAAGAAAGAAAGAAAGAAAGGAAGAATGAAAGAATGAAATAGAATGAGGAAAATTATAAGGAGAAAAAATAAAAATGAAATAGAATAAGGAAAAGGAAAAGAAAGAAAGAAAGAAAGAAAAAAAAGAAAGACAGAAAGAAAGACGATGACAGAAATAAAAGATTAAAAGAGGGTGAAAAGTTTAAGCAAAGAGAAAATAAAAAAATAGCAGAATGAGGAAAAGAAGTTAAAGAAAGCAGGAAGTAATAAAAGGTAGAAATGATTAAAAAGAGGAAAGAAAGAAAATTAATAGAAGGTGGACAATATTGAGAATAAAGAAAGAAAATCTTACAATGACATATGAAGAAAGAAAAAATGTAAGTAGAATGAGGAACATTTTAGGAAGGAAAGAAAGAATTAATGAAAAGGAAAAGCAAAAGCTAATCATTTAAAAAGTATTCAAAAGTGAAGAGATCTTAAAAAGGAGAAAATAATTCGGTACAAAAAAGAAGCTAAACAAGAAAGTGATTCTGAAGTAACTGAAAGACAAACAAATAAGAAAAGAATTGGAAATGTTAGTATCGGTTTTTTCATACAGGTAATCGAATCAGGTTGGGTGTGATATTCTGACAATAATTACAGGTGATTATTTCAGTTGGCAGACTCCCTGGCCCAGTGAAATTGAGGTGAACTTCCGATAATAGCAAGCGTTTCAAATTCTTCAAAGTGACATCTTGGAACGGCAGTACTTGGTTGGTCATACGAAACAAGAAGAGAAATGTCACACGCCATAACAATAATGCCAGTTGCATAACTTTCTAACGTCGACACAATAAATGTCTTCCTTTTCTTGCGTGATTTTGCAAGCTACTCTTTGAGCCGTTATTGCTAAACTGGTTTACTTTTTCTTTAATCTCTGTCTTTGATTCTTTACCTTCTAATATACGCCATCAGCATTGATAAAAGAACGCTTGAGTCTGTTGCAATCGTTTGACCAGTATCTCTCATCTGAATCTCGATCTGGCTTTCGTTCCAAGTTCTTAAGGAAGCAGAATATCGGAAATTTGTAAAGTCTGAAAACAATTCGATTTTGATGATCTACCTGGTTGCTTGCTTGCTTAATTGTTTGGCTGGTTGCTTGGTTGATTGGTTGGCTGATTGTCAGGTTGGTTAGTTGGTCACTTGGTTGATTGGCTGGTTGATGGATTATTTAATGCCGAAATAACAAATATTTGGAACACAATTTTATGGATTTAACTAAATATATTTTGAACGCAATTGTATGTCATTAGCTACCGATAGAATATGCTGTTAGTCATTTTGCTATATAATGTATTACTATTAATTCTTTTATAAAATATATTATTAGTAATTTTTCTATAAAATCTATTGTTGGTAATTTTATATAAAAATGTATTTTTATTTTTTTTATCTATAACAATTGCTGGTATATTTACTACAAAATATATTGATATACTTTCATTGTATTTGTTTTTTGTTTGGGGTGTTTACTATTTACAAATAGCTCGGATTGTAATAGATCAAGATGGATCCACAAACAACAATAAATAGGCTTCTAATCTGTACATAAAGTGAATTTCCGGTACTGTTTGTGTATAATACAATTGCATAATAGAATTTTATTTAAATATATAAACATTTATATAACAGTGTAGAAAACGCAATATAATAATGTTAACGTTTTATTTGTTTGAATATCGGTCCACATATCATGTTATAAGGCTATAGAGTTACTGAGGGTGAAAAAGAATGAGAAGATTGTAATGAGGCGAAAGGACAACAAAACTCAAGAAGACAGATTAAGGGGATTGATGTAGCATTTAAATATTTGAAGATTGTAGTTTTGAGGGAAGCAATAAATCGGAAGGGATTGCCACAGGCGAGAAGTGCGTAAAGAAAAGAAACCATTTGAATCGCACATACGATTGCATTTAGCTAGTTCAACTGTAAAACGTTGAGTCCTATTTGCCAATCTAAAAGAACGCTTAAATTCAGGCACTCAAGGCACGAAAGAGGAAAGCAGATCAGAACAACTGCCATAAAAATATTTGTAGAAAAAGCAGAGGAAAACCACGTCACGTCGGTGAGAAAGTGACGGAAGTCGATATGCCAGATCAGGAACGATTCCCTGACACGCTATAGTTTGAATTTAGTCAAAAATAATATAATATATATATATATATATATATATATATATATATATATATATATATATATATATATATATATCAAGATCACCATCCAAGATATATCCGCAATATTCAATGCACCGACGAATGTTAAATTTACAAATGTGTAAGATGGATTCTAACGAGAAATATAATAGCTTGTTACGGGATAGAAACAAACCTGTAATTAAACCTAACAATTGATTGGATATAATTGATCTACTACATGTCAGTGAAAAATATGAGCGCAAGGAGTCTCAATGAGATGTTCTCGTACAGGTTAGCATCGGCCATGCTGATGGCAGACAGAAAAAGGTTTTATATGGTGATTAAATAAAAGCAGTTTTGGTTCGGAGGCGTTAAAATTAAAGCCATTCCTTGCCATAGTTAACCACGTGTAAGGAGAATATTGAGAATCGAACACATCGAAATCATCAACAAGATTATATCTCTATCTTCAGGCGCTCTCATTAGGAAGTTATGTAGTGAAGAATGTAGTTACCCCGGTAACACATGAACCCTCAATATCTTGGCATCGAGATACGCCTGCAAACCGCCTTGTGTAGAGACAAATCAAATTTACGAAAATTTCTGCGATTAGTACCAGAAGTGTTCTTCTTGATTGGATAATCAGCTTAGAGGAAAACGGTTAAACCTTGCACAAATATATTACAGAAATATGTGTTGGTGTAGACATTTGAGTGGAGAACCTTTCTTTCTTTGAAGTCAGACACAAAATCCTGGATTTTGCCTTTGTTCCGACAGCGATATTTGTCACTTCTTGGCAAAGTAAACAAGTTTTGTTTTTTATATGCCGAGTCCATCCAGAACGTAGAGGATCATGGTTCTCCACAATTTCCTTTCATTTGTAGCCCTTAATAAATTTTATCTTTTTGTTATTTTTTTCCAAACGTTATTCCGCCATCCATTTACTCAAGCTCACTAAGTAGGTCATGCATTATTTTCCTCTGTCCTTCTTGCCTTCAATCTGGCCTGTGATAATCCGATTTTCTAAGCCATCTTTCCTCATTATGTATCCTAGACATCTCAACTATCTCTTTCTGATGTTAAGTATAATTTTTCTTTTTGTTTCCATTTTTCGAAAACATGAATGTAAGAGTGCTTCTAGCTTGGCATTTCGGTGCCACCCTTTCACTGCTGACACAGTTAAAGGTAACCGCCTCTTCTACTTCAATAGTTTCTTCTCTCGCACTTCCTGAATGTGGAACGCCCTTCCTCTTACTTGCTTCCTTGATAACTATAATCTTAAAAAATTTGAATGTAATATCAATCGACATCTGTTGTATTGTTCCCCGTTCTTCTTTTTGTCCTCCCCAGTTCTTCTTTCTTCCTTTCCTCAACCTCTCCTCCATAACCAGACTTTTATCTTACACGTAGACCCTTCCGTGCTAATGTCACACTCGCCTTGCTTGTATATACACACATACACAACAACATATTTATATTTACACGAGTGTAAATATAAATATATTGTCGTGTATGTGTGTATATACGCATGTCTTTTGGGGCGTAGAATTAGTAGGTCCTTGCTAGATTAAATATTCGTTAATTTTTATATGTTTATATTAAAATTGTAACCAGTAGGTGATATTACTTTTGTCAATTTTTCTTGATTGAACATCGGCTCTTTTATAAATGCCCCCTTTCTTTTGTTTCTTCTTCTTCTCCTTCTTTTTCTTCTTCTTCTTCTTCTTCTTCTTCTTCTTCTTCTTCTTCTTCTTCTCTCTCTCTCATCTTCTGAATTTTAAGTTTTGATTATATCGTCTTTTATTGTGCGTAGTTACCACAAATGTTTACACCCGTTTCCGGTGTCGGTTTTTAATTGAATTTAGGTCAGCGATTCAGTAATGAATTATGCATCGGAAAATAATTCATATTTATCTGTATCTCACTCATTTAAACCGTCATTTAACTCCTCTCTTTAAAACTTCTCTCTGTTAAATTGTAATCCCCACCTTCACTTTTAGGCCTTCCTGTTCTTCTCTCGTCTGTTACCCCCCTCTCTATGGCTTTCATTTACTTATAACATTCGTCCCCCTCTCTCATACATAAACTCTCACTAAATTTTATTTTTTATTCCCGGAGTTATTTTTTTCCGATTTCTTTTTGAATTTGTATGTCTGATGAATTGGATCGTAATTACGATTCCAATGTAATAAATTATAATGATATATGGAATATTAATTTTTAAGCCTTTTACTATATATATATATATATATATATATATATTGCTTCAAGTCTCTTCTTCATTTTGAAATTATTTTACAACATTCACCGCCATGTAAGATAACTGATATCACGTAAAGATTCAGTTCTTTTTTTTTTTTGTTTCTAACGAAATGTTTTTATTTCATAATACTCTACTTAGCTTCTGGTAGGCACCTTTCGCTATTCCAATGCACCTTCGAATTTCAGTGTCGCACTTTCCGTCCTCTGTTTGTAAACTTATTTGATTTTACGGGGGAAAGTCTGCAGTAGGAAAGTGTGTTGTGTCAAAAGCTCATTCTGGGAAGGCCGACATGCCTTGAAAATAATTATCGGAATTCTTAGCTTTTATATAAATCGAAAAAGGAATAAGTAACAGATTATTCACCTCGACCACCAAACAACCACATTATTTATTTCTTTATTTTCATGTTATAGTATATTTTTCTGTCTTCATTCATGCATTTAAATTTAACTATTCATATTTCTTTTTTCTCCTCCTCATCTATTTTACTGCCTTTCTTCCTCTTCTCTTCCACTTCATTTTGATTCCTTCAACTTCGATCTATCTTCAACTACCGTCATTCTTTTCTCATAATTTTTGTCAAATTCTCCTTTTTGTTTTACACTTTTCTTTCTTTTATAGAAACGACATTTTGTGTTCAACTTCAATTGTCAATATTCCTTTTCAATTTGTCTTATTTTTTTCGTAAACCTAACTTACATTTCTCTCTTTCCCACGTTTCCTATCACTATTTTTCCAATTCATACTTGTTTTGTGGAGAGGAAATCCGTTGTGAGAACTGTCGATCAATTTTATTAGATTTCTTCTGAAAACATAACATACATAAATGGATCAATATACTCGTCGGCTGACACAAGTTTTATTAGGTTAAATTTAATCTGAAATTTCCATTATATAATATTTAGACTGTATGATTAATAATCTTTACTGAATTAATTATTCTGACAAACATTATTTTTTAAAGTAATTATTTGCGTAAAAATGTTCGTTTTTGTCATTAGAATACTAATTTATTGGTATAAGTACATATTATACAAAGCCTGCGTTTAAGAAGATTCTGGAAAACTAAAAATGAAACCTAGTTTCCAGTATGAATCAAAGCAGGTTATTGGCATTTATTTACTTAGAGCAATGGATATTTCCTAAATAGAAACTTTATTGTCGGATTCTTTTTTTTTACAGCTCATAATATACAAGCAGTATAACCCGTCTTCGACCGGGTCTTTCATTACTGGAAATTTTTGACATTTAGATGGAGCAGTTTAAGTTTAAAGTCATCGCATTCGAAAATCAGTATTAATAACAACAATTAGGTGCAATCACATCCCAAAATTCGGGGTTAACGGAGCGGGGGCGGAAAAGGAAACTGTATAATAATAAATAATATTATTGTAATAATATAAACTATTCAATTTTATTTAATTTTTTTTACGAAAGATATATATGCAAGAACAGATAGTAAATAGTAAAACGTTGAGGAGAGTTATAATGGACAGGAAGTAGTGGAGAGCCATCGTCGCAAACAATTCGGACTCAAACCGGCACTTAAGAATTTTTTTTTTAAGCATTTCACCCCAAGCAAGGCGGGAAGCCACTAGAGCGCAAGGGGTTACAGAAAATATAGAGCGAGATCAGATAGGAGTGATAGAAGAGGGTATGAGGAGAAGGGTAGTGGATAGATCAAGACAACTGGAGATGTCGATTGACATTGCACTTGAATAGCTGGAGATTATAGCTCTCAGGGAAACAGGAATAGGGAAGAGAGTTCCCCAGGCGAGAGGTGCGAGACATGAAGCTATTAGAGTAGAAGAGACGGCTACATTTAGGAGTTTCGACAGTGAAAGGGTGAGAGGGGGATGCCAGCCTCGTAGGCCGCTTGAACTCCTGATGTCTGGGAACCAGCGAATGCAGCTCCTCGGAGCAATTGCCATGAAAGTATTTGTAAAACAGACAGAGAGAGGCGACGCCGTGTCTGTGAGAAAGTGACTGTAGACGAGATGCCAGAGCAGGGCCAATTATATTGCATATCCGCCTCTGGAGCCTATCAAGAACCCCGAGGCAAACAGAAGGGGCTCCAGACCATATATGGCAGCAATACTCCATGCAAGGGCGAATTGTGGATTTGTAGATCTGGAGGATCGATTCCGAGGAGAAAAATTTCCTGGCGCGGCACAGGGAGCCAACTTTCCTTGCAGTGGACGAAACAATTGACTCAATGTATTTGTTCCATCTCAGGTCAGCAGACAGGGTGAGACCGAGCAGCTGAAGAAAGGTGCTCTCGAGAAGTTGAGCGTCAGACATTCTAATGGATGGGGAGGGAAGGATCTCTGTGGTGATCTATCAAACAAAAAAAAAATCATCGAAATTGGATGAAAACTGTGGAAATACATAAACAACATCCGATGACACACACACATACACACACACATACACACTCACATACACACGCACATACACACACACACACCGATATTTACAGAATTATAGATATAGATAGATATGCGGATTATGTCATTCTTAAACATTATTTGGATTGTAAAATAATTTTTTGCGATTGAATTTTGCATTTACAATTTTTTTAATAACAATTATTTCTGCAGATACAATTCCTACTATTTCACCTATAGCTGGTGACTTGCTAGAAAAGATTTGTAAATCACAATGATTTCTAAAATAATTTTATAAATGTATCAATTCACACAGAAAATATATATGAATTATTAAAAAAAAAATTTATAATAGCTTTATATCTGTAAAACGGTATAATCATTTTATATCTGTAACCTATATATCCCCAACGCCCCTACCCTATACAAAAGGGTGAAAATTACTGATATAAATGTGCATATTTTAATTAATTTTGATTTTCCTTCAAGCAACTCATTGATTAATTTAATTATGTTTAATTAAAATTAATTTTATCTGAGCAAAGAGAGAATATAATGATTAAAATCTTTTATTGTAGTTTCAAATAAATAAATGATCTAAAATTAAGTGAAAAAAAGTCAACTTTGATCTCGGAGAATTATTCGCTACGGAATATTGAAAAAGAAAAGCCAGTAGGAAAAATATCCTTTTACGCATTCAACTGCTATGAATTAAAATTATCTGAAGTAAAGTTTCTATCTTTTTTGGCTTTGAAACTAAAAATCATACTATTGCAAAAGACGATGAAAAACTTTTCTTTTACCAATGGTGCTGTAAATTAACGAAAAGAAAGAAACTTCTTGCTATTTATAAAACATAAATTCCTATATTCAAAACATCAAATATTGTGGCGGTTCGGAAATAGAAAACTGGGGATGTTATTAAACAAAGATAGGACTGTTTATTGCCAGTGTGACACTAAGATCTAAAGACGTATTGGGATGGACAAAGATGCATTCCAAAAGCAAAGCAGAGGCAGGAACATTTATTTAAAAACAGAGGAAAGAGTATTGAACTGTTATGTGATATCAGTTTTCTTATATGAGAACGAATGCTGGACTATCTCCTCAAAGATAAAGAAGACGACACAAGTATTCGCTACTCAAATATAAGTGATTAGCTTATTAAATGTTGCTCTGTTTAGCCCTATTCAATGTTCCTTTATATATTGTTTGTCATAATATTCTACGAATCTAATATTCAAAAGAGTCCAGAACACAAAAACTCTTGCAAAAAAAGAAACATAACAAACATATATAAGAACATAACATTAATCAATATTTAATAAGATAAAAGATCAAAAACACCTCCAGGATTAAATAGATAGGGTAGATTGTGTTCTCTAAACCATGAACAAAACAACAGAAAAACTCTCCGCCATCTTTCCCAAGTTTCCCATGTTTTGTCATTCACATATAATCAAGAAATATCTGTGTGATCTATAATTACCTACATCCCGTAAGTGCATGCCATTAAAAAAAAATCAAGAATAAAATAAAAATATGAAGGAAATAAATGAAAATCAATGATAATCGTAATTGTAATATTAGATGTTTCCTTGTAAGGAAACAGCTGGCATTGATTAACAGAGCAACCGGTACTGCTTTAGGTTCAATTTTATAAAGTCTTTCTCTTAAAAAAATATTTAGAAGAAAATAGATTTTCAAGTTGAATATATGTTTTAACTCTTTCTTGTATTGATGGAGATTACTTTTTTATTTGTAATGCAGTATTTATCTTGAATTTGTCATTTTATTCTTCGATATACAATCCATTTTAGTTATTGCTACTGTTGGTAATCATCATTTGATGTGGTTTCTGTTATTTGGTTACAGTTCACTATTCGTGAATGTGTAGCACCAGTCTACAATATTCATAGAAGATTCACTCGCTAAATCAAAAATGCGGAGTTAGATTACACAGTTTCACTATTTGTGGTTCCACTTTAATTCGCCAAGTTATTCACTAAATGTGGTTTCACTTTAGTTGGAAATTGCATTCAGGAAACACCGTGAGGTCCTAACTCACTGGAAAATGAATTGCGAAGGAACATACTAAAGAAATAATAGAAAATCTAAAACAGAGAAATGA